CCATACGAAACACAGCAGCATTAAGCTACTATTTTACGCTGGTATTCTGTGAGAGCGTGATCCCTCCCCAGTCGAGTCGACCCATTCGTGCTACAACTATATTATTAATATAACTGCAGCATGGCTCTACCATGTATAAATTTTACATCTGGCATGTGCGACATAATATGGAAAGGAGGAAAAATGTTCATAACATTTCCAGTAGTCGACTCTTACGACTTCAATGGTGCAGATGGACTGATAGATTACCTGACGCCGCCACCACACTTCCGACATTCAGTATCTGTCTTTGTCGCGTATGGTTTAATATAGTTATTTCTACGTTGTAGAAAGTTGGAAATTCTTTGTACATAATATTTCTCTATAATTTTGACACAGAGACGTCAGAATAGCTGAACTGTAAGTGATGAAACTTCATGAACTGACAAAGAACAATAATAGCAATGGTAAAGAGCCAGGAGTGATCTAGAATATATTATCCCAAAAACGTGGGCATCTTAAAAAAATAGATAAATTAAATTATTTTTAATTACCCTAAATCTTAACAACACTATACCTACTCAGGTGAAGTCAGAGCAGGTTCCTAATAGATAATAAAAACCATAATGTTTCAAGCTTTAATATATTCAAATTTGTGAAGACGTTGTCTGCCGGATAAAATCTCCATCAGACCTTTTTTTTTACAGAATGTGTGTACACCTCCACGTGATGTTAAGTGAATGTTGTGGCTCATTAGATATCTACATTTATCCTCGATTAGGAATCAAAATTCAGATCTCTTTCCACCCCTGAGGACTAAGATGGAATGCCTCGTTCCTTATAAAAAGGGTCTTCGGTTCCCTACACTTACCATACGAAACACAACGGCATAGAACTGCTATTTTACGATGGTATTCGGTGAGAGCGTGTCCTCCCCCAGTCGAGCCGACCCATTCGTGCTGCAACCTTAATATAGCTGCAACATGGCTCCACCACGTATGAAAATAATTAAATTGAAATAGATTACCACAAAAAATGAATCATTTAAAGTTTCATCACTCATTGATATATGACTCCAAAAATCAACACATAAACGTAATATATGAGTAAATACGTATGAACTTTAACTTACGTATCCTGAATAACAAAGCCAAATTCGTCACACGCTACAGAAACAATAACCACAAAACATATATTATCACGCTCACGCTAGTAATATATGTAAGTCTAATTAAAATATCAGTTTCTCATTGAAACTAAATCTGACATGCATGCAAAGCGTTTCCGCGTAGGTCCTTAGTTATCAACCCACGTATGATCCCGAGGTTGTGATGGCATCAACCTTGTAGATCACTGTTTATGACTACCTAAATTAATATTCTAGGAGGATAGTTGTAAATAAGGTTAAAGCATGCGCATCTATCGATTGATTTATTTCCTGGTATTTTCTTCCTAACTGTTGGGCACATTCAAAGAAGTTTTTCTAATAGTTAGCTAGGTTGCCCGGCTTTAAGCTCCCTTTAAACGGGTTTCCGTCTTATTGTGGCGTGAGGTCTTAGTAGCTGAGTCTTGGTCACCTACGGTGAACTAAGAAGAACTCACATGGTTGACTCGTGGTGAAGGGCTGGCCCGTGGTGGACAATCCGAGTGGGTTTTGCGAGCCCATTTTGGAAGTATATTCGTGGACTGCTGCGAGAAGGGCCTACCGCCGCAGCCGAGGTGAACACCATATGGTTTTAGTCGGTGCAAGTCCGACATAATTCATCCTTGCCCTCGCGAGGCGGGTATGCGTAGGTATTTCCCAATGTAAAAAAAGGCTTACTTTAATCTAGCGATGATAAGAATTTGTAGTTTTCTGTAATGCTATGTCGATTTTTATACAAATATTTTAATATACATTATATTGAGGGAACTTCCCTGAGCGCAAAGCTAATAACCTTAATAGAATAGAATAGAATAATTTTTAGTTAACATGGATTATTACATAATATACTTATTGAAAGTCCTTTTTTGTATTTACTAATGGTTCGGATAATACTTCTGTCCTGGGAAGAACCAACAAGAAACCTAACGGGATATTTTTTTATCATAATATACAATATTTTCTTACTCAATTTTACAATAATTTTGTACAATATTTATATGAATTACAATAGAACCAACATAGTAGCATCATCTCATTCCTACGAGTTATTTTCATTCATGTACTACTCAATACTAAAATAACCCTTTTTGTACAGATTTTCTGCAATATTTATTCAAACTTGTTGTTTGCCAAAATGAGTATTTTCTAGGACTTTGTTGTAAAAGCGCATAGGCATTGCCCCATACGAGTAAGTGAATTACTTATTATGTGGAGTCTAGTAACTAGCCTCACAACCTTATATTTGTTCCTAATGTTTGAAGTATGAATATCTTTATTCTTATCAAAACTATTCATGTCATTAAAGCTGTGAAAAACTGTCTCCGTCACCAGCGTGTGAAATTTGTATTTACTATTTTTGATACGGTTCCCGTTATCAGGCTTCTTCCGTCAATCAGCAGTGGAGATTTTTTTTTAATATTCCTCGATTTAGTTGTATATTTGTTATACGTTATATCCCCATCATCCGTACAATACAATATTTTCTAATGATTGAACTTGGGTGATGAATTTTGGGTTTCCGTGTACCGTAAGTATACCTACAATGATAATCTAATATAACGATACTTTGGATACTCTGCGACGTCGTTTTTTGTACTTAAGATTGTAACCGGTTACGGGAATTACTCTTCTTGAATCAAATTATTTATTTATTATATTATATTATGTATGTATTTCTCGAGTATATGATTATATTTATGCCGTATGTATTTTCTAACAACTAGGTACACCCTTACCCTTTCTCAGAGGTTATAATATCTTCTGGAACGTGGTTGCCTGGTAGAGATTGCTTCCAAACGATAAGGCCGTCAATTGCACCTTTAAATTATCTGTTTATATTTTGTGTTTTTCTGGTATACAATAAAGTACCTATATTTCATTCAAATTAATGTTTTCTTTAAGGCTCATACAAATATAATTATTCTCTATCATTCTAATCTTGTTAGTTCAGCTTTTAATTATAAAGTAAAGTGGTTATCATTAACTTGAATAACTGAATAAGTATAAATATAATATTTTTCTACTGACTTTACCAAGAATAAAAATGATGGTAGCACAGACGCTAAACGCTCGCCATAAATTGCACAATATGCGAACAACCCGAGTGTGATTCCTGAAAATTTCGTGGGAAAAATTGTATCACTCGCCAACGCACACTGGAGCAGCGCGGCGGAGTAACTGCTCTATAACTCTCCCAAAAGTGAGGGGAGGATTGTGCCCAGTATATAGGCTATAACTTATATTAATTATTTATATCAAATACAAATTAAAATTAGATTTATCATTTAAAAATAAAGACTTAAACAATAATACAAACGATTTTTTTAATTATTAGTCCGACAACCCGTTTATTTTTCATCATGACCTTCGAGACCTAGTTAGTATCGACCCATTGTTCTGTAAATTGCTCGTTCCGTCTCTGATCCGAGGCAAAGCTATTGACTTACAAACACGCTGTTAAATTTTACGGGTGATGCACATCGAGAAACGACTAAAAACAAGACGTTGAAGTTGATGAAAATAAACGACAGGTAAGATGACCCTTCAGTCGTCTTCATTGTCACGTATTGTAACGTATGCCTCTCCTTAGATTACCACACAGGGGGAATATTTGTCATAGTTGCTTGGAAGGCGGGTGGTACTTGACTAACGCAGTTTTTTTACCACTTTAAGATGCTATCAGGACGATGTTTCTCCCGCCCTTCTGTTGCATTATCCTCTGTGTCTGTACTTTGCCACGGAAGCAGTGAGATATTTAAATTATTATCATTTTTCTCTTAACAATTAGGAAGTCGTTAGGTAATTTGTTATAAAACTTATCATTTGCGTAGTAATACAAAAATGCAAAAATAATTTTATTTATATCGTGTACTAAATTAGAATCTTTGCATTTTTTTTCATTACTTTAACTGACATAACTCTGAATAATTATCTAATATCAACTTGAAAGTAACTGATTCGAGTAAGATAATTCTAATAGCATTCAATTATTTTTGCGTTTTTGTTTACTATGTAAATCGTAAGTTTTTTGACAATTAACTTTAGGAAAATAGAAAGCAAAAATGATAAACATTATGCGCTTTTACTGTAATGAATAATTTTATAATAAAATAAGCCTTCTTTTGACAGTAGCTACTCAAAGTTACATAAACACGTAAATCAAAGTACAAACTTCTACATTTAGAATAATCCTTGACACCAATGATAATAAGCTACTAGAATAGTCCCGACTCCCACGCACAACTTGCTACTTCATTCAAACTTCAAAAGTATGATTAACTCTGGCAGACCTTGTCTCCACTTATAATCAAATTAATAACAACCCGCTAATGTAAAAAGTATATTACTAACAAAAATGCCCGAATAATTTAAAAATAGTTACCAAAGTATTGTGTTACGCTATATGCTCGGAGGTCTTTATCATTAGTATTTATTATTTCCCATCCATTTCAGCGTACAAAGGTCCACTACTGGACATAGGCGTACCCCAAAGATTTCCTCTTGGGGAGGATGTTGCCATAGTTGCCACGCTTGAGGCGGATTTGCAACCGCAGTACTTTTAGAATTTAAAGTTTTTGTAAGGAAGATACTGTTGCCTATCTCCTACTTCAATTTCTCTTTGACGCCAGTTATGACAACCATGGGATATGGAGTAGTGGATATTCTACTAGCCACTTCATGATTAATTCTTTATTATTTGTTTGGGATAAAAAATTAATTGGCCTAATGAATTTTGTACTATATACATATAATTGTACAGAAAAAAACTTAAATTAAAGAGATAATCTTCAAAATTTTAGCACAACTACTCATCTTCCACTATGACTTTGGGTTAAAGTTTAGTACCAAACCTCACGTATATAAATTTTATGTACAGTTATGGACATGCAGTGCTCTCGCTGCTCTGGACGGGTACAGTCCTCAACAGGACACTGACCAGTTTCACATCCAGACTGATGAAGATGATGAACGCTACTTTCTTTATCAGACTCATAGCGGACAGTATCGCAAAGAGAGAAGACTGAAGGATGGCTCAGTTGTTGGTGAGTTAATTTTTTAAGCAACTCAGTTTCTGTTAACGTTTAAGCTTAAAATGTAATTTAAACATTCAAGTCGAGGTGGTGGCGTTATGAGTTTCTTGACTCCATATCGCTTAACTTTTGTCGTAATACTTGACTGAGGCAATGCCATAAAGATCGACCTACTCGGGCTTTCGGTACCAATGACAGAATCAGCTTCAAGGAGTCAAGATGTCTGGCACTATGATATCTTATCTATTTGCCAAGTGTAGCGGTTGTGACTATTTCTTCCTACTATGGAAGCTGATTCTTAGCAAGTCACAAATTGCGACAACATTTTTAAATTTTATTTTATTTTATATATATGATTGGCCAAATATTCGTTTCATATTCGGTGTTCGGCAGCTTTACCTAATATTCAGCTAAATCAACAAACATTCGTTAAAGTGGTACTCAAAGTGTCCACTGTATTGAAATGTCCGAATTGAGTAATGCTATGTCTTTTATAATTATACTGTTAATAATATTTTTTATTTATTGAGTTAAATATACATGTATAGCATCATGTTTATGAGAAACTGTAAATTTATTTCCAATTATAGCAATTTAAAAACTAGATAAAATGGTTTGTGGAATCAAACAAAGAACATTACATTACATTAGTACATTTCGCTTTACTTTGGTCGTCAGTTTCTCTAAAACAAGTCTAAATAGTAGATCTCCTGCCACTCATTTTTATTATATAATTATCAATTTCCACTAAGAATAACAAATAATTAAATTAATTAAAATCTATCGAAATTCAAACACCACACTATTTTATGAACGGCAAAAAAACAATAATAGGCATCCTTGACTTGTTACTTCGCAGTTACAGGCTAGGGTATGATTTGAATTGCGATAGATTTTTATTTATTCAGTTATTTAAAAATTTTTGTTTTTATTTTTTATAATATATCGGTGCCATATGCTTCTGCTCCGTTCACATGTTACACCCTATTTTTTTTCTAGACGGTGAAAAAAGGTCACCAGTATATAATATATATATATATATATATATATATATATATATATATATATATATATATAGATCTCTTTACGGTAAATGTTGATCCGGCGCCTTTTGTTGATCCAATATGCATCTCTGTTAACTAATGTGGCTCCGACCGGATCAACATCTGCACTCACGAACCTGTTTGCTAGCGTTTGCTGAAGTTGATCCGATATACAAATCTACCTTGCGATGGTTACGGAAAATGTTGATCCGATTTAAATGAGCCAATCAGAGCACAGCAAACGATAAGATAAACGATCGTATTGGCTGAAAGCAGCCGCGACGTTGCCGTTTCGTATCTTTGGCGTTACAAGCTACAGATTAAATGCGTGTTCAATACAATAATGCATTCAGGGTGCTGTTGGGTCTGCCTCGTCATTGTAATGCGCCGGGTATGTTCGCGGATGCGCGTGTGGATTGTTTCTACACCACCATGCGTAAACGATGCACATCCCTAGTGCGCAGGGTGCGGGCCAGTTCCAATGGTATCCTGAAGGCATTTTCTGACAGGTTTGAGGTCAGTACCTGAACCATTGTCATATGGTGCACGCGCTGACTAATCGGGCCTGTCTTAGATATAGTTACTACTATACTTACTATACTTTTTTTAACGTATAACTCAACAACTCGACAATTCTTGTAGCGGAAGTGGTAACAGCGACATAAGGTATTCGTCTGAGTGCGTGTTTGTGTGTGTGTGTGTGTGTGTGTGTGTGTGAGTGTGTGTGTGTGTGTGTGTGTGTGTGTGTGTGTGTGGCGTGTGTATGTGTGTGCGCACGCGGGTGGGAACGTGTGCTTGCGGTGGGTGTGAGAGTTTGTGTGTGCGCGTGCGTGTGGGTGTATGTGCGTTCATGTGTGTTCGTCTGAGTGCATGTGCGTGCGCGTGTTAGTGTATGTGTGCGTGTGTGCACTGTTATGTTTTTTGATTACGTGTGTGTGTGACAGTGTGCGTGTGTGTGTACGTGTGCGCTTGTATGCACTGTTGTGTGTGTACGTGTGTGTGTGGTAGTGTGCTTATGTGACTGCGTTTGTGCGTGTACGCATGTGTGCATGTTTGCGCGCGCGCTATTTCTACATCTTCATAATCAAGATTTTTAAGGACGCGTTTACAAAATTGATAGGTATAGAATTTAAATATTACATGAGATATTATGATGAGACCTTACCTCCGGTCTTGATGGAGTGACCTCAAAATGTATTTCGGGATTACTACTGGAACTCCTGGACTAGAAGAACTGGGTTTGCCGAGTTTGGGCTCGTTTTGTTAGTTATGATGAGTCCTTATCTCCGGTTTTGCTGAAGTAACCTGAAGGTGTACTTCGGTAAGCAATACTGTAACACCTGGACTAGTAGAACTAGGTATGCCGAGTTTGGGTTTGTTTTGTTAGTTATGATGAAACCGTCACAAAACAAAAGTTCTTTTCACTTTGTCTCTAGCACCAATAGGTAGCCAAGCTGATATTCGGAAAAATGAATAACCTCGTAGTAACATTTTTATGGCCAGTATCGATATCCATTTACTAGCCACACTGTTTTTCGCTGTAACCAACTGTCCTTTATGTGAGACTCACTTGCCCTCACGCGGTGCCCACTTTACTGCACTCCAATGCAACCACCACCACCTCTGCCACCTACGCCTCCACATCTACCACCGCATCCCTCTCTAAGCCTTCGTTCTCCATCTCCGCTACCTCCGCCTCCACAATAAACTCTGCTCCCTCCGCCTCAACAATAAACCCGCTCCCTCCGCAGCCACCACCACGGCTCGTCACTATTCTTTCCGCCTCCGACACAATCTAAGGTTGACCCACTTCTGACCCCACTCTCCCCGTTTTCACTATCTCCGACTTCACCACAAATTCCTCTCCTCTGCCTTCACCACAAACTACGCTGCATTCACCTCCGCCTCCACCACGTCTCCATTCTCCGTCTCCGTTTTCTGCGCATACACACACATACACATACACAAATAAACATGCACTCAGACGAACACACACCCACACGCACGCGCATACACACACGCGCGTTTGCGCGCACCTACATAAACACGCACACACACGCACACCTACACACACACTCACACACAAACACAGACACACACACAAACACAGACACAAACACACACACACACACATACACACACGCGCGAGCACACATACATACACGCGTGCGCACACATACATACACGCGCGCGTGCTCGCACACATACACGCGCGCGCACAACCGCACACACACACACGAACACAACTACACACACACGCGCGCACACATATGAACACAGACATACACCCAAATGCATGCACTCGCACGCAACACTCACACACACACACACACACACACACACACACACACACACACGCACGCACGCACGCGCGCGCACGCACATGCGTTCAACGAACACACATGAACGCACATACACCCACATGCACGCGCACACACAAACTCGCACACACACGCATAAAAACGCAAACACACGCGCACGCACTAAATGGCACCCCCCCACCCTTACACACACACATACTCGAGTGATAAATTGATTTGTAATAAAGTACTATCTATCATCTTTTAATTGATCCATGACAAATGAACAAAATAACACAAATTCACGCACACGATAACAAAAACTCGAACAAACGTCTTTCCACAATAAAACCTGCCAAAGTTTGATTCACAAAATCAGCAGATAACGCATTTTCTTACCTTATTACTATACTATGAGGAAGTAGCCTACTGGGTTCTCTGTCACACACAGAACGCGACGTTGCCGCTTCGTGTTCGAGTACCTATTCTTCAATTATGGCTCCGGATCTACTTACGGCGCCTCTACACGTTGGCCAACACAGTGGCGAATGTAGTGGCCAATAGCATTGGCCAACGTGTAGACGGGGTGTTTGGGCTTCATTGGTATGTATTGGGACGATGGCCCGCAAGTTGGCGCGAGATCCGTGTGGTGTCGGTTTTTTACAAAAGATCAAAGGATTGTTGGCAGAGTTTGGTCGCCGCGTCCACACGTTGGCCGCGAGTTTAGTTTGCTACAAGCTCCCAGAGTGATTACACGCATCTGATTAAAATTTTATATTCACGCTTTGTAGGGTGGATGACCCAATTACCAGTCTTTTAGTGCCAATTTCAACTTTAAACATTCCTACTACTTTAATTAGCGCGATTTAATTATTTTTAAACATTTGTTTTAATCGATAAGCTATTTATAAAAAAAAAATAATGAACATTTATTTACAATCAGATTATTACGAGAACAATTTTAAAATGAAAAAAAAATGAAGCACGTCGTTTATACGTGGTAGAACCATGCAGTTATATTAGAAGTATAGTTGTAGCACGAATTGGTCGGTTCGACCGGGGAAGGACCACGCTCTCACAGAATATCAATTAAAATAGTAGCTTAATGATGCTGTATTTCGTATAGTGAGTGTAGAGAACCAGAGACACTTTTTAAAGGAAACGAGGCATTTCATCTTAGTCCTCACGGGTGACAATTTGCATTTTGATTCGTAATCGAGGATAGATGTAGATGTCTATGGGCCACAGCAAACAGTTACCATCAGGTGGACTGTGTGCTCGTTTGTCACCCTATCCTTACATCAAATGTCTGATAGAAAAGCAAGTACATGTTTTGCTAAACTTTAAAAACAAAACCCAATTTTAAAACATAGACTAATCGATTATAACTCCTTTAACTTTAAAATGAGTTAAGTTCTAATTAATGGTATTTATTCTAGTTTCTGATGCATGTAAAGAATAAATAAAGCTAATCGTATATCGTATATCTGTTTACAGCCTCATTAATATTCACACTTGGATTTTCTCCTGTATCGCGGAGGCAACTTACATTAACATAAATTGCACAAGGATACACATCCAGACCCGAAACAATTATTTGTAGGATATACAAATACTTGTTCCGTGCGGGATTCAAACCCGCGACCCCTGGGACAGCCACTCATTGCCAAGCCACTGCGCCACGGAGCCGTCGTCTAAAATAAAATAAATTCGTCCGCACATTGGCCCGAACCGAAGTAAACTGAACGACCTTCCAACGTGTGGTCGCCAACTCTCGGCCAATATATTCGCCACTACATTCGCCACTGTGTTGGCCAACGTGTAGAGGCGACATTAGTCTAAGTAAATGTCGCATATAAATTATTTATACTCTGGATCTAAAAAATCATATTCAGTATGATTTTTTCGACCGTTGATAGATCAACAAATGTTGGTCAAATCGCTGACGAGTATATTGAAAACAGTGCAGATCCACCGACGTCACACGCGCATCAAGGATGGATCAAATTATATCAGTTTGTGCGACGAGGAGCTGAGCAAACACGTCAAATAGGTGGATCAACAATTGTTGTAACTTCTAACTGGATCAACATTTACTGTGAAAGGATGATTATATATATATATATATATATATATATATATATATATATATATATATATATATATATATATATATATAAACTGTTGTTAAATTTTAAATATTTAATTTTAAAATATCATTTGGTAAAACTTAAAAAAGTAAATAAATATTACCAATTATCACAGACGGTGGCTTGCATAATAACATCTAGGTATACCCAATTTCAGGAACATCAGGTTGGGTGGGCGCTGACGGATTCTTGCGGTTACAAGATTACATTGCTGATGGCCAGGGATACAGGATCTACAAATCAAAAACGGTTTACGTAGGACTGAATCGACCAATAGGAGTACGTAATCAAAAAAAGTATTATTTAAAAGCTAGCCATGGGCAATGGGTATTTCCTCTGAATTAAGTCTTTTGTTCTATATATTATTATTACACAAACATATCGACGAGGGAAAGATTACCAAGTGACATATAGACAGCTTTACAGGAGAGTTGATTAAAGTTTAAAATTTTGAAAAAAAAATCATATAAATTGTACTATTTACCCTATCGGAATGATTCTTACATAATTGAAAAGCTTCCCCTATTTGTTTACAATTTCCAAAGTTAGTGGCGACTAATAAAAAAAAAATTAAAAAATCACGAACGGGAACGACCGACAACCGACTCTTGATGTGAGAACCGAAAAAAGTTGTAATCAGATATTTTTGAGGAATTTGAGCATGGATAAAATATTTAACATTATAAAAATAATATTTCTATGATCGGGCAAGAGTTACTTACCTACTACTTCATGATTGATTAATTTCTGTTTTTTACCAGATGACAAATTAAAATAAGATCTTGCCGTAATAATTCAATGAGGATTTTAGGTTTTACAAAGAAAAGCACTGGTGGTCTTCCTATAGGACTCTAATGCATCCATCATCTTGGAATCAGGTACAGTGGACGATCACCAGCTGAATGACAGACCTTCCTTCCTTCCTTCCTGCTACATAACCGCCAGCACAGATTAATATGATAATTTTGAGACCCCAACCCAAACCAGAGAGCGATCATTAATGACTTAAGAACTTTAAATATATTGTATAAATCTGCAGATATATTATGCAAGTTGATCCATCTCTTATTACAGAGATGGCTAGCCTGTGTTAATTATTTTTAATTAAAGCTACGATTTTTAAGCCCGTACTGTGGCTGCAAAAATACCCCATTCTCACCCATGGGTTTTTAAGACGCGACTATGGGTCATTTCAGTAAGATCTTGTGGCGTCCGATAGACGTATTGACATCTATCGGTTATATTGATAACCACCTAATTCACGCTATAAGTAAAATATCCAGACTGAAAGAACATCTTAACCAACCGATCGTCAAAAAACATCCAAAAGAACCTCTTTGCTGTAGTTAGTTTTAACTGTCGGAGAGCCTATTTATCAAGGTCACTGGCATTTACACGAAAAATTATGAATGTGAGCATAAGTCACTACTATTACCTTGCAACCCTTAACTATTCATTTTTGCGATGGAAACTCATAAACTTCAAATACTCATTGACCCTCCTTTGAAGTTGAACTGACTTCAGCACATATAGCAAGAAAACGGAACATATGTACCGCGCCTTTCTTTGAGCATTCTATTGCAGTAACTAATCACTTCAAATCACTGAAATTGATCTGCCAGACATTGTCTTTTCTTTGTTTGCGATTAATCATAATCTAGGAATTTTTCTATAACCGGTTTTAACGTTTTAAACTTTCTCGTTTACCGTAAAATATCGTTCTGGACCAAGGTACAACAAAGATCATTTGTTAGGTTTAAAACCGTTGGATCAACGATTGACTATTGACGGTCTCGTAAAATAACTGCGCGCAATGTTATGAATAAAATCCTTCCCCTTTAACTAATGATATGATAATTGGAAGTGATGATTAAGTTTCTAGTTCAAAATATCATTAATAATACCTAATAAATTAATTATGCTTTCAGGAGTCGATAAAAATTGCAAAATCTGCTCCTGCTGATTCCGGATTCGGTGTTACGCCCGCACGTCCTACGCATCGGACCATCAGCCCTGCTCGTGAAAGTACAACAACGCAACGTCCATCAACATCTCCGCCAACGACACATATACCACCACAATCATTCCCAGACGAAGTCTCCATAACCCCGTCGACACCTTCCTATCCCCGTCCAACTTCAACACCCCAAGTCGAAGTGTCTCCTAACTCCATAGATGTGTCTACACCTTTTAATTTAAGACCAACTGTACCACCTATTACAGCTGATGAAGCATCACAACCTCCAAATACTTACGATTACGAAAACACAAATACAATTGAAGACAATTATTACGCTAGTGACAGTACACCTTATAGGCGTTACGACGTGTTTAATCCAAATTCGTATAGACATGCTGATGACTGGACACGCCGTTATCAATCTCGCATTCGGCTTGGAGATGGATACACACCACAGTTCCCAGGATACGATGGAGGAGCTCGTGGAAGAAATGGGTTCCGTTATTATCTTCCAAAGCAATACCATGAAGAAGTAACGCAGAATACAAACGAAAGGATCGGAAGCTTTGGTTACATTGACCCATTTGGCATTAGGCGAGTTATATATTACAATACATCGCCTGGCGAAGGGTTCCAAATACGTAAGAACAACAGATATGTTGGTCACGACGCAACACCTTACGATCCTAGGCCGATTGAATGAATTCGAGTCATTACTTAGTAAGTGTGAGTCAAAGTCATCTCTTGCATATCAGTATTTTATACGTAACATAATTATTTTATGCGAAGACAAAACGATTGTATCTCGAACGAAATCTCTTAGCCATAAATCCATAAAACCTATGTAAACGTTTTTTGTAAGAAAAACAATTTAACGTGTAATTTATTAATTGATATGTTTATTTATTGCATTAAAACAACGATTTTATACGTATGACCTTAGGTTTCCAATGTCTTTGTAATTACACTTAAAGTGGTCTACATATGAGTAATTTAACAACTTAATAAAGGGTAACTTATTGCTTGTAAATCGTTATTATCGATTATGTTGTATGACCATCTTATATTATATGCTCTGAATATACCGTGAAAAATTCTAAAATATTTATAAAAAAATTATCCTTTTTGAGTACTTACAACAACACAACTTGTAACTTAATTTTCTGATGGTCACCAGTCACCACAATAAAATAATATCGGTTTAAATTGTGTGGGTGCTTAATTGTAAGGACCTAATGAGTTTTGTGAAGTAAATAGATCATTATCTCTATATTTTTAAACACACTTTAGAAATTACGAGCGCTTTAAAACTCCTTTAGAGAAATAACAGCTTTAGAACATATTATGTTAACGATATCGTTTATGTAGGCGCTTGTATTAAAACGTAAGAAGTGATCCTAATCTTTCCCTAAATAGTAAAGTCTATGTGATATGCATACATTTGTGCTATTTTAGTGTAGGCCTAGACTAAGCGTAACCTAATATTATTTAATAAAAACAATGTCATATTTCTTAAGTTGTTACATTAACCGATACTAATTACAAAAATTACGTAGATTACAACAAAAACAAGTTACAGCACAGTACTGTATTTCACTAAATTTCATACTCTTTGGTTGATTTATCGATCAAGGCAATTTTACAGTTATAATGTTACTACAGAAATGAAATTAATGCATGTATGATTAATAATTGTATATCATCATCATCATTACAGCCCTTCACAAGTCCACTGCTGAACATAGGCCTCCCCCAAGTAATGCCACAAAGCACGGTCCTGAGCCACCTGCATCCATCGACTTCCTGCATATCTTACCAGGTCGTCACTCCATCTAGTGGGGGGTTGCCCTACACTACGCCTACCGGTACGAGGCTGCCACTCGAGAACCCTTTTCCCATCGATTGTAGGTTCTTCGAGCTATATGGCCGACCCATTACCACTTCAACTTACTAATCCGTACTATATGCAAATACATATTTATTACAGCTTTTCTTAAGCTTGGTGTATGTAAAAATAAACGAGTTGATGCGAATAATTTGTCATTAATGAAACCTATATAAAAAAATAAATGTTAACAACATAATGACAACTTGTTGCAACAACTTTAAACGGGATATTACTTCTATATATCGCAATAGTGTACTTGTTAATTAATAAAAACAATGTTAACCATATAAAATAATAATTATTTATTTTATTATTATATAATATGTATAACGTATATTGAACCGTAATTTAATTTCAATTGTAAATTTAGTCAATATTAAAATGTTTAAATTAAAACAAATACACGAAAGGTTAACTTTAACCACTGTTTATTATTTTTTCAACCTTAATAAGCTAAATATTATTTATTGTTGACGTATTCACTGTCCAATTTAAAGACACGATAGTTTAGCTTATGCATGATTAAATACATAAATAAATACAATAGGTTAGCTTATGCTTATGCATGATTATATATTAAATATGTAAGAAATAGGGAATAGCTTAGTAATTAGCTGACACATGAATAACTTTTAGTGACTTTAATATTTTTACGCCCAAGGAGACGATCATACCTAACTTGTTTGTTTTCATGCAAGACGTTGAAAAAAAAATTAATACTATATATTATGATAAATAATTGGTTGATTTAATAAATTAAAAAAACTATAGGCCTAAAATATTAGAAATTTCTAAAATTTTACAGATGACAATAGTGAAAGTATACTCTATCTATATAAACACAAAAAATGTATTTATCTATGCCCGTTATAGATTTGAAACCATCTTGATAAAAAGAACGACGTATGAAATTTGAGTGGCGGTGGTTTATATTCACATTTGGACCCGGTAGGTGGCGCTGTTGTCGAGGTCCAGAAACAAAAATCGAAAACGTGGCGGATCGGTAGATGTTAAATAAAAGATCAGATAAATTGGTTTATTAACCTCGGACATAGTGTTATACCATTATACGTTTATTATAAAAGTACATAAGGATTAATCATTCCATCGCATTCTTTTTTTTGAAGTCAATTAAAAGTAATTAAAATTCTTAATTTTTATTTGAAGCAAGTAAAGCATACACAAATTACACAAGTTATAGTAGTAGATGCTTAGGTCTAGGTACAAAAGACAAGTTTATTGGTTTATCTGGCTTATTTATCAATAACGTTTTAATGCCCAGCTCTCCTCCCATCCATTTCATTTCAAATTCTTGGACCAACTGGAACATAAAAAAAGAACTATCAATAATAAGTTTAATATACAGCTATATGTGTTAAAACACCGATAAATTTATAATATAAACTGCTTAAGAGCGATGCTACAGTACTTTTCGAATGATTTACATACATAAATTTCACAAGGACACACATAGATCCAGAACCGGAACAATTATTTTATAAAACTTACAAATACTATTTCCGTGCGGGATTCAAACCCGCGATCCAACTCATTATTAAGCCCCTGCAACACGGAGCCATCAATTACTACCTTTTATTATAATGACATTACTTCGGCGAAGGAGCTTTGCTTGACACATAATAGAAAAAAATAACTATTTTAGGGATGAAACTTATCTAGGAAAACATAGAAAATAAAACACTATCTAAATACAAAACAATGCAACAACATCGTTAGAGCCGTTTCGAAAAAACCAATAACATGAATACATTACAAAAATTGCTCTATTAAAGTATAGGATAATTAAAGGTTATGCCTTAAAATAATAAAACTTCGTTCAATAATTTATTTAATGATATTTTATATGTGAAACTATTAGGACATATATATCTGAGACACATGTTTATCCTAGTTCAGGTACCTATTATTATAGAATATATTTAGATTAAGGCTTTGCTTGAATAATTACTATTCTACAGGTTATAGGAATGAATATTAAATTAAATTAAAATAATTAATAGCCTATCAAAAGTCCACTGCTGAACACATATAAGCCTCCCCTAAACTGCCTCATAAAGGGGATTTTTGCCATAAAAAAGGGGATTTCGCCATAGTTGCCCCGCTTGGAAGGCGGGTGGCCAACCGCAGTTTTTACCTTATGACACTCACGGGATTATATAGTTATTTTAAGTCCTTTACACCGCCACTACCAGGCAATAATACTTATGAAAATGAATAAATATTCTGTTTTTTTTTGTTAATAAAACTATATTAATATCTTACCCGAATAAGTGTAATGCACATATTTTGTTCCGCCAACCTTCTGGCAATACACGATCGGGGACCAAATCCAAAGGGTAGACTTACAAACGGATGTATATTCTCGTAATGTGAAGAGTCCCTCATCCATCGCTCCGGCTTAAAGAGCATCGGGTCCCGCACATACTGCGGTAAACGGGATGCTACCATGTTTTGTGTCACTATAACAGTCTGATAAAAAGTTACAGTAAAAATATGTTACAAAATGAAAATGACTAGAACGTCTTCTTTTCGTGTTCGGCGTCAGTCGCGCCCAAAAACCATAATAATATATCTTTACCTATGAAATTGCCGTTCAAAAGTACTGGCCATTTAAAATCAAAATAATTTTTGTATGGCTAAGAATTCTAATTTCAAATTAAATTTATTTTAAAAACATAGAATTCTTTTTTTAATCAGTTATTTTTATTAGCGTTAGCGTTATGTTTTCATCACATTTAAACGTTTTTCGTCAACATAGATACGTTAAAAATTCGAGTAATTCCGGAATATGAGTACCGTCGTGGGAGCAACTCGGCTCAAGCGGCACGGAACATCAACCATGTTTACGAGGCGTATGTACTACATACGAACGCACACCTGTTTTTGATTTGCCCGTTTTCGTTCTGCAAATTTCGACCTGCAAAATGAACCCCATGGCTGTCCAAAAACTTTGGTCTACAATGACGAATTAAAGGCGATTGTGCAAGCTGATGATACTCAATTCGAAGCAACAGTAGCCTAATTTCAGGGCGCGGATCGAGAACTCAAAAGGTCGTGGGTTCGAATCCGCCATTTGACTACTGTCGTGAACCACTCCTAACACAAGCATTTTCAAGCTTACCAGGAGTTGTTAAAAGGAATATTAGTAATGTTAATTAATAAGATTACTAATATTTTTCTAAAAAAAAAAATTGAGTAATAGATTAATCTACGGCTGAATTAACAGCACCTTTCGACGTTAGCATCAAAATTTCAAAATAGTTATTTAGATGCCACAAATCTTCCAGCCGTTACCCCTCGACGAGACACACAGGATGAAATTAAAAGGTAATTAATTTTCTTACGCTGCAAATGTAAACTAATTCATCCATAATCTACATCCCCAAGACTGCTAAGCGTAGGACTCCTTAGATTACCTCATAGGAAGGGTTTTGCCACAGTTGCCACGCTTGGCAGGCGAGTTGGCAACTGCAGGTTTTTGTTATTTTGAGTTATCATTAGAAAGATGCTGCTGCCCTTCTTCTGTTGTAGATTCCCTCTGTCTCTCACCACACCCACGGGATGACTTAGGGTAGAGGATATTCTTGCACCGTCACTACACGGTTAGTAAAGTAATAGTAAAGTAATTGAAATACATAAATTCCTCCTACAACGGGAGGCACGTGCAAGGAGCATCAACGAGAGATAGCCAAGTACATAAGTGGACTTTACGGGTTGATAAAAAATAAAATCTTTAGAGTGGAAAATATAGAAATTATAAGTTAATTAAAACTTACCCCCTGAGGAATTAAATA